TGTATGACCAAGAAGCCAGATTTCTTCATTTTAGCGCCGCAGGCGAAAATTTTAGGAATTTTGGAAGGATAACGGTCAGATTTCTTCAATTTTTAGCCATTTCACTGTAAAAATTGTAAAAATTTTACAAAATGGTAAAAATAGGGCAAAAATATGGCGAATGAAAAAATAGGGAAAAACTAGGGCGAAAAAGTCAAAAATAGGGCAAATGCCCTATAAATAGGGTAAAAGGGTCACCCTGATTAGTCTAAAATTTTCCCAGGATTTTTATACTACTATTAGACGTAATACGCAAAAAATTTTGAAAAATTTCTATTGATACAAGATGCCTTTAATCCTATTTCGCTAAAAAATCGCCTTTAGATTTTTAGGAATAAAATTTATCTGAAATTTAAAGGAATTAGTCTCGGATATTGAGGTATATTAAGTGGTTATCGGGGATTAAGGATGATTAGCGAGAACAATGGAGAATATGAATTAAGCGTATATCGGAATTTTGACAGGATTAATGCAATATCAGAGAAAGCTTATCTGAGGAATAAGGGGATATTAACCAAACCTCTAGTTTTATCACTCAAGAAGCAAGAAATCAGGCTTATCCTGCGCTTCCAGTATCCTTTTTTCCGAAAAATACAGATAGACTTCAAACATTACCATATCGTATTACGATACGTAATACCGATAAATATTTAAAAATACGGTCGGTAGTACAGTACAACCCGATGAGTATAATGAAATGAATGGTTTTTGAGTTTTTGAATTTAGCTAATTTTTTTGGAATTTTGCCAATTTTTTTTTGAATTTTGCTAATTTTTTTGGAATTTTGTTTGTTTTTTGAGGGGGGGGGGTCTTTTTTAAAATAAAATGTTTTTTACTTTTTTACTCCATTGATAAATTTTGTACTCAAAACTTTGCTTAACCGTCTGAATCTTCTAATCTTTATTCCTCTTCATTTGCCAGTTCAGCTTCGTCTACTTCATGTACGTCTTTTACATCTGTTTCATAATTGAAACCAACTTTTTTTAATTTGTTATTTAACTCTTTAGCGGCTAAAGGTAGAGTCATCACTTTTTCTTCTCGACACATTGGACACGTTTTTGACCAACGCTCCATACATTTGAGATGATAAAAGTGTTCGCATTTAGTCATTCCAATAATATCATCCGGTTTATAATTTTGCAGACAGATTGGGCATACAGTTTGTCCTTTTTTTCCAGCTTCAATAAATACGATTTTCTTGATTTCCATCTAGAACAAAAGTTAAGGCTCAATATTAGACAATGTTAGTTTAAAATTCAAAGAGAAATCAGTAGTCGTTGCCCCATTAGCCCAGGGATAGAGAGTATGTAGTGAGCGAAAGCGCCTAGTAATAACTGTTAGGTGGTCGTGGTTTCGAATCCTGCCCGGTTGCTGAACTCTTTTTGCAAATTGCTTATTTTTTAAAGAATTTTTAATGTATTACCGTATTTACTCGATTAATTCCCCTCCCTCGAATAATCCCCACCCTCTATTAATTCCCCATGCCTAACAATTGAATTTTTGTTCCTAAGGCTTTCCAAATTCTAAAAAAATTTGCCTTCGGCGCAGAAAAATAATTTTAGTTTAAGAGGGATATCATGAGATTGATTGAAGAGATATCGGAGGATTAAGGGGATTAAGAGGGATATCAGGGAATTAATTGAGATTTGAAGTAATATCAGAGAAATAAGATGACTTAGAGGGATTAAAGGGAGCCTACCCGTTTTCACTCCTTCCATTATCTTACTCCTTCTCATTTATAGAAGGAAATTTTTTTTAAAAATGTGAAGAATTAATTGTCATTTTGCGAAAATTCAGAAAATATTTGTTTCAATTTTATTAGATTAGATTAATTAATTAAAATATTCCTTTTTAAACATTAATTTCATATTAAAATTAGAAATTAAATGATTCTATACGCTTTAATGTAAATTTAATAATGGAAGGAGTGAAAACGGGTAGTAGGGATTAATTTGGATTTCTGGAAAAAGAAATTAATTCTGTAAAAAAGAAATTAATTCTAGAAACCCAGAAAAAATAAAATCCAGCGCCTCAGGCGTAAATTTTGAGAAAATTGAAGGTAAAGTAGCCAGTTTTCTTCGCAGTTTCTTACCCCGCGGCAGCCCTGCAGCCCTATCCCGCCCCCAAAAAACAATGGGAATTCTACTGAAGATGCTGGTTCGCTCCCAGCCGCCGATTAACCTTTTGCACTAGCTAAAGGAGAGAAATATCTATAGCCCAGCTGCTTTACTTTTCTTTTATGTATTAAAATAAAAAATTAAACTATATTCTTTTTATGAATTTCAAAATATGCACTTTCACTTCAAAGAAAAAATCGAATATATGTATCTCAGACAAATAAAAGAGATTAAAGGAAATTGCCGAGTTCAAAGTTTTTTATATTGCCGAGATTAAAGGATGCCGATAAAATAATATATTTTTATTATGAAATAAACAAGTAAAAGGGCATATTTTCGAAAATAAATCTTTCTCGTGGATTAATATAAATATTGGCTATTAATTTTCACTACCATTTTGAAAATAAAAATTGCACTTTAATAAAATTTTGGCTCTGGTCTAGGCTCTTTCATTATCCATTTTTAAATTATCATTATTATTAAATTATTTAAATTATCATTATTATCCATTCTTAAGGCATCGACAAATATCCTTTCTTGTGACTAACTTTCTCTTGACTAACTCTCAAATGCTAAAGCTTTAGATTTGCAGTGGTTTAAGAAAAAACCACTCTGTTTATTTTTCTGGTTTTTAGGTTCATGTTTTCTAATTAATCTGAAATTTTCACAGGATATTTAAATCGCTATTAAACACCATACCCAAAAAATTTTGAAAAAAATTTTCTATTTTTATCGGGGTTTTTATCGGGTTTTTAATAGGTATTATTATTATTATTATATTATTTATTTATTATTATTATTAATATTTATTATTATTATTAGTATTATTATTATATTTATATTATTTATTATTTATTATTTATTATTTATCGGGTTTTTTAAAATTCAGATGGTTTACTTATAGAAAGGAAATCATGAAAGCCTTTATCTCATGATAAGTATCGAGGCCTTTAAACAACTTTATAATCTTACCATAATTAAAATAAATATTTTTTTAATTTTATTTAATTAAAATTTTGAAATTTCCAGTCATTCAAAATGTTAAAATCATTCAAAACTATTCTCTTTTTAACATTTACTCAATTTTTAACTTCAAGTTCAAGTGGTGCTGGTTCTTCAAGTTCAGGGCACGTTGGACGTAGTAAAGCATCGGGTTCAGGAGTTGTTGGAACTTCGGTTTTCGGACCTCAACTTGAAGAACGTCAAAATATTATTAATAGTTTATTTGAAGAAAATCACCCGACAGCTTTTAACGAGTATAAAAAATATTTGGGTTGCTTTAACGTGATGACAGATATTTCTCCAAGGGAGTTTCGTGATCTATATGAAAAGGTTCAACTAATTTTATAAATTTTTATATAGTCAAATCTTTTTTTAACATCAACCCAAGGGTTCGTGTTACGACCTGAGGTTTCCGAGATTTAACTAATGTTGACGTACACAAGAATAACAATTTATCCGGTGTAGAAATAAACAATGTAGGCGAAGGTGGAAAGGGCTTGGAACAGACGAAGGGAATCAGGGACTAGCCGCGCTAGTATGATTCCACTAGACTGACGCTTTCACTGGCTTTTATACTATAGCGATACCACTACACAACAGTTCGTTTCTGTTTGGGACCCCAGCATTAGTTAAGAGTCCAATGTTTATCTCGGAACAGGCAATAATTAGTTAAGATATACACTCAGTTAAGATATACAGAAGAATTTTCCGATATTTATTTGCACAAAGTATATTAACAATAAAGATTAATAAGAGAAAAGTAAAAGATTGGCTTACTGAATAAGCAGAATTAAAAGATAAGGAATAAGGTGTGTTCAGCCTATGCAAGGCTGAAGGGTACGAAAAGGAATAAGAAGTCAGCTAGTGCTATTACTAGGTTGTAAATAGGAAAATTATTATAAATTTAATACTAAAACAGGAAAAGATGACTTATAGGAAAAGCTTATGATGAAAATATTATCTCTTCTTGGGGATTGTTGGGAAAAAATATTTTTTTTAATTAACGATCAGAAAGGAAAATAAATATGAATAATTGGGAGAGTCAGAAAATTTTTTAACCCACACTATTACCTTTCTAAAATATAATAAAATATTAAAATTAATTTAGAAAATTTTAGTATCTCGAATTTCTAGAGCAATTATTAAAAGAAAAAAAGGTAAAGCAAAAAGAAATAAATAAAAAAATAATTGAAATGGTTAATAATGGATCAGCGATTAAGGAACTCAAGCAATTCTGTGAAAAACGATCAGAAAATATAGTCAATGTTATGTTTAAAAAGTGCTTTGTAAGTTTAATAAATTTTTATTCATCAAAGTTACAAGTTTTAATTGAATACAGTCAATCTATAATTAAATGATAACCAATAGTTAAAATAAGCTATTTAAATACAAGTTGTGGCAAATTGGTCGCGTTTTTTGTTTTGGCCATATACTTCTTTAAACTTAAAATAAATTGATAATTTTTTATCTTATTCTGAGAAAATCTTCGATACGAAATCTCCTTTATATTTTATAACTTATTTTGATTAATCTATTCTTAAATTGTGAAACTAGATTCAAAAAAAGTGGGACTAGATTCAAGTCTATGAGCTTGATATAGAAAATTTATATATCATTCAAATCAGCTGCCCAATCCGATTGGAATGTCTGAAAATTAGGGCTTAACATGTAAATTAACGAGATGCGGCTATCTGAATTAAATTTTTTATTTTGCCTTTGTTAAATTTAAATAATTTCGTTATAGGAAAAAATGAAAAAGATGTTATTTGACAAGGCTGTAGCAAAAAAACAAACAAAATTCCAATCTGCCATAAAGACTATAAAGAAGATGAACAAATTGATATGACAAGATGTGGGCATTTTTACCATACGGATTGTATACTTAAATGGTTTGAGACGGCCAAAAGTGACTTTGACAAGTGCCCAACATGTCGCCGTGCTCAACTAAAAATTTTTGTACCTTCAGACATTGATAAATTAAATAAGAAATTAAAGGAAGTTGGTGTCGAATTTAAGAAAAAAATAAATATTCGATCGAAATTGTCAAATGCTCAGATACAATTACTCATTCAATTAGGCTACTCAATCGAGTAAAAAAATTTTTTTTTAATTAAGAAATTTAAAAAAGAATCGAAAAATCAAAAACACTAGATCCAAAAAACTGAAAATCCATTTACTAAAAAAGTCGGCATAGTTTATCTAACCAAATTTAGCGCCATAACTTTTTCCGATGCTAGGTTTTCTGCTAGAATTCAAATTAAATGCATATTAGAATTCTTTACCACAAAAATAGGCTTACTCCTCCTTCTTGACAATTTTGAGCCATATATCTCGGTCCACAGGCATCTCCGAAAAAAAAAGAGTCATTCGATTCGACCGTGACGAATCGAATGACGTATGTTTCGACACGGTTTAGATGGGCCCTCGACTAAACAACAGCCTAATTTCTTCCTATTTCGCTTCTTTTGTAAATTTTAATATTTGATTCATTTGTTCAAGTCATAATAAAAATTTGATAAGTAGGGATGGACATGACGTGTCTGAAGTATCTTCAAGTTCAAGTGGTGTTGGATCCTCAACTTCAGGAGATTTACATAGGTAAAAGTCACATAAAATTCTCCAAGACTAAGCATACCTTTATGTAAATTTATTACAAGCTTTATAAAGTTAATAAAAAATTACGGTACAAACAACTCTCGTTAAATGTAGTTATATAGGAACTCAATCATACAAAATGTCAAAATCATTCAACTTTCTTCTCTTAACATTTATTCTAATTTAACATTCAAGTCCCAGTGGTGCTGGATCTTCGCGTTCTGGACATGGTGTATATGGTGGATCTTCGAGCTTAAGTGTTGTTGAACCTCCATTTTCAATATCAGAGGCTATGGAACAAAAACGCATTCTTGATTCTTTGCTTAGAGATTATACCAATAAATATGATGATTATGATAGATATGAATTATGTGGGGCTGAGATGGAATATGGTTCTAAACATAATCAAACTAAAATTTCAAAAAAGGTCTTATTTATTAATCTTTTGTATACAGGGTGCGGCATAAGTAACCGGACACATGTTTTCTCTCATAACTTTATTAAAACGAAATCAAATAAAATCAAAATACAATCAGATGATAGAGAATTAAATAAGAAACAAAAATAATCAAGAAGTTTCGAAATGCCCACCCTTGGCTTTGATACAGAGGCGAATGCGTGAAGAAAAATTTTCGCAAATAGCACGCACCTCTTTGAGTGTAATTAAGTCCCACTCTCGGATGAGAGAGTGGCGCAGAGACTCCAAACTTTTGTGAGGCTTAGCACAGACCCTGGACTCCAAAATTGACCAAACAGAATAATCCATCGGGTTTTTGAGAAAAAAAATTTTACATTAACCAAATTTTTTTACATTTTGTATTTAAAACTAAGGTTGGCCTATCTTGGGCATCAACGGATATTCAGTTTCCGCCATCCTAACCACAAATTTCAAATAAAGAGACCTAAAAATTTCAAGATATAAGAAATTTTCTGATCGGTATATCCGTCTCGTATATATCAAAATAAATTAAAATTATTTCAGTGTAAAGAAATTCTTGAAGAATCATTAAAAAAGGATAAAAATATTTCGAAGAGTCAATTAAAAAAGTTAGTGAATAAAATGATAAGTAATGGGACGGCAGTTAATGAAATCAATAAATACTGTGATAATTCTATGATGAAAATTCTGAACGAACTTCGAAAAAATTGCGGTGTAAGTTTAATATATAGTTTATGTGGGTGCTTTGATTCATAAAGATGTTGTAGAATATGAGATATTTGATATTATATTATTTCATCGGCAGCAGGGATGGGTCTGGTTTACGATTGCGGGTTTTTATATTGAGATTATTTGAAAAAGTGACAGTTTTTTGGCAGTTTGCCGATCAAACATAGGGCTATACAAATACAAAATTATTTGAAAATTGGACCGAAAATAAAGGCCCAGGGTTCTTTTATGTTAGAAACTAACCTACTCCTTATATATTTTTACAAATTAAATTGATATATGAGAAAATGATATATGAGTGATATATTGATATATGAGAAAACCTATCCTTGATCGGCAGATGAGAGTGAAAATTATTGTTAATAAAAAGAAAAAGCTTGCGTTCTTGAATCTATACGTATAAGTGATTGATTCATATCAGGTATCACTCGATATCACGCCACTCGATGTTTTCTTCAAGGTGTAAACAGAATTTTTTCAGCGCCGCATGTGTACTATTTAAAGAAATACGGTATTTTCTGGAAAGTTAAAAATTTCTACCTTTTGAATTGAATAAAAAGATAGCGTTACCAATTTTTAAAATATTAATTTCGTTATAGAAAAAAATGTGGAAGATCGTATTTGACGAAGCTGTAAATAAAGATGAAACAGCATGTCCAATCTGTCTTGGGGATTATAAAGAAGATGAACAAATTGATATGACTAGCTGTGGACATTTTTACCATTCGGATTGTATATTCGAATGGTTTGAAAAAGCCGGAAGTAACTTTGATAAATGTCCAAGTTGCCGTGCTGAATTTGAAATTTATATACATCCAAAAGTTGCTGAGTTAAATGAGAAATTAAAGAAATTTGATCTTGGTTTTGAGATGAAAACAACTGGTCGATTGGAATTGACAGATGCTCAGCTAGAATTTCTCCGACAATCAGGCTATACAATTGAGTGAAAAGTAAAAATTAAAATTAAAAAAGAAACAAAAAATCCAAAAAATAAACAAAATCCAAAAAAACTTTTTTAATTCTATTTAGTATTTTAATTTATTTCTTATTTTCATTCTTTTGTAAATTTGGGGTCGCTTTAGTAAAACAAAAAAATCCAAAAAATCCGTGAAACATTAAAAATCCAAACAAATCAAAAAACCGAAAACCCCAAAATCCAAAAAAATCCCATAATCAAAAAAACACAAAAAATCCAAAAAACCCCAAAAACAAAAAAACACTAATTTAAAAAACCCCCAAAAACTAAAAATCCAAAAAAAGATTCCCGAAAAAATTTTATTTAATTCTATCTATTTAAAATCTATTTTTTATTCATATTTTCATTCTTTTGTAAATTTTAAATATTTAATCTTTAGTATAAAATATTTCCGGGAATAGTTTTGATAAATATTTAGAGTTTGGTGCTTTGTAGTACTGCCAAAAATATGAAAATATACAAAAAATCTGAAACGTTATTAATGGTTGTGTAGTGGTGTCACTAATGTTTTTGGAGAGATGGATTTGATTTGAAATTGACTATAAAGAGTAATAAATTCAAATAATGTTTCGGGAAAAACTAAAAAAACATTTAAAAAATATTTTATGAGGGAACAGTTTGAATAAAAAGGAAAATAATAATAAAATCTTAAAATCATGGATCCAACACTCCTTTCTCCTTTAAAAGAATGGTCGTTTATATTTTGTTGAGGAATGAATCCCGTGTCCGGACAATGCGTCAGTGGATAATGCGTGAGTGGAAAATGCGTCAGTGGACAATCGGTCAGTATTGATATAAAGTGATTAAAAGTGATGATATAAAGAGATAAAAAATGGTATAAAAAGACTAAAGATGGGATATAAAGAGATTGGGAGTATTTAAAAACGAATTTTGGGGGATTAAAAGAGATATAGAAGGATTTGTTGGGATTAAGGCTGATATCTCAGGTTTGGCAGGATTAACAGAGATATAAAGTTATTCGGTTGGGCTAAAATGGAGATCAGTCGATTTGAAGGGATATCAGTCGATTTTTACCTCTTCATATGATCACTTTTAATCACTTTATATCACCACTGACCGATTGTCCACTGACGCATTTTCCATTCACGCATTGTCCACTGACGCATTGTCCGGGAGCCATGAATCCGACATGCATCGAATTTGGAGAGATTATATTGGGTTTGGGAGATTAGATGGAATCGGGGCGATTAGGAAGGATATCAAGGGAAGTCTCTCCGTTGCCCTTCATATTCTCTATCATCTCCTTAAACACACAAATCACTTTTTAAGCGCTGCTAATGTAAACGCTAATAAATTTTCGATATCAAATCAGGATATCCGATGAATTTCAGTTATTTAAAGATAAAATTAATTTTAAGCAATTAAAAACTTGTATTTAAAATTTTAAAAACTTTAAATTTAAAAAACAGAGAAAGGAACTTATTTAAAAAATTTAATCGAAGAAGAGCTCTAATTATTTCCCAAAATTCCCGAGTTTATACAAGGAAAAATGAAGTATTAAAATTAGGAAATTGTAAATAATTATTTGGAACAAACGGCTGATAACCACGAGGTGTTTGATTATTGGCGTTTGAATTGAAGACTTTTACAATTACAGGTGCAGGTTGTTGCTGAACCTTTGGCTGTTGATGGGAATTTTTTAAATTTTTTGAATAAAAAGTTCGTTGATTATTATTATTGTTAGGTCGAAAATTTTTGAAGGAATTAGAGTCGTTACTCGGTGGTTTAGAAGAGCAAATGCTTGCTTTATCCAGTCTGTCAACAATTTGATCCAGATTTTTTAAAATTCGAACCCCGATTATTTATGGCACCAATTTTTGCCAATCTATCGTGGCATCAATTTGTTTCAACCAAATTTGTAACAAGGGTTAAATTTATTTAATTTACCAAATTTTTACCAATAGATTTCCAAACCAAAATTTAATCAAAATTCATTTTATTTAAAATTTATTCCAAAAGAAAATTTATATTATAATATTGGGTTAAAAACAAATTGAGAGAGAAGATATTAATGAAGCAAGGAATAAGCTTAATATAACAATAATGTAAAGGTTTAGATAAGGCTAAAAATAGGGTTGATGGAAATGTTAAAGAATATCAAAAAATGTGATGAGTAATTTGAAGATGCAAAAATTTGTAAAAAATATATTTAAAATAATGAATCATAAAAAATAATATTATTTTAATGTTTTAAATAAATTTTCCGGGGAAAAATAGATATATTAAATAGATATACTTATTATAAAAATGCATAAAAAATGGTCGTTTTATGACTATAAATGAATAATAACAGAGATAAAATGGTCTAAAAAAACCTATTTAATTGCTATAAAGATTTTAGTATCTTGATAATTATAGTCGCCGCTTCGTTACAGCAACCAGATTTTTGAAACTTTTAACCTCGTATAAGTTCCGATTTTTCAATAACAAAAATTCTAATCTATAGTGAAGTCTGTTTTTATTAATCACCATAAATGACACCTTTCTTCTGGTATTCTATACATTTTATCACCCGGTTGGCAGTTAAAAGCATCAAAAAATTCTTGTAAATTAGACAATGCTACATTTACACGTGCTCTGTCAGGCGAGTGATTATCATCAGATAACAAATATTTTGTCTGGGAAGTATACTCAACTGAGCACCAACCCTGAAAAATTTCAACTAGTTAACTTTAATAAAAACATTATTTTAGGGTGAGGTTATAGTTATGTAGAGCATGGTATAGTGAATTTTAAAGTACATTATTTATGGTAAATTTTACTCCTCTTTCGCCCTATTTTCTACCTATTTTTTAAATTGGGCTTATCTCGCCAAATTTTACCATTTTGTAATATTTTGGCATTCTGTAAATGATTTGGGAGTAATGTCTTCCAAAAATTTCTTATCGTGTGCTTGTCGACTATCGAAAGCTCAGACCAACCCTGTACATAATTAACTTACAAAAGCATAGGTAGCGAAAAAAAGTTGTTCATCAGTCATAAATTCCAACCCATGGACTACTATTTTTGGATCTTCTACTTGACTTTTTCTCGTTTTTAGATAATTTTTAAGCGCCCAATATGCTGATTTTAGACCACCAGCATCTGCTAGGTTTTCACTCAATGTAAATTCACCGTCAACTGGAGATTTAGATTTTTCACCTGTCCTCACCTAATATATAAATAGTCAGTTGAACCTCAATATACGATATGAGGTACGTTTTTAAAAATTTGGTTAGCCACTGGTTCTGTGGGGCTCCATATTTAAGCGGTGACCGGTTTTATGCTCGATACCATATTTTGGATAATAACTTTTATGCTTTATAAGATTTAAATAATTATCATATCAATCGAAAGCTGATCAGACTACCTATATTTATAAGTTACATCCCAATAAATATACAGGTGTAACTTTTTCTTTTATCAACTGATCAACTCAATCTGTTAGCAATGTGGTTCTCACACCCAATGAATCGTCCGAAAATTCAGAAAGAATATAATCGAATAAAAATAACCCATCATCGGGTTGAATTGTTGCAGTCGGTTGTGCTTATGCTCGGATCTCTTACCATGATAGTTCTATTCCATCTCCCATAAGCTGAATTTTTCCTCAGCTTGAATTTATACAGCAGCCTTCGATTGATATAATAACTACTCTAATAGGTTAAGAATCAAATAAGTTATGGCCTAAAATATGGCTGAGCCTGAAACGACGATTCTGAAACGTCCCCTAACAATTTTCTCAGGTCTAAAGTTGTATAGTATAGAGGTCTACTAGATCTTAAAGTTACCAAAAAATGATTATATTGCGTAATAAAACACTGTTTCCTTCTATCATATTCATTTTCCGTCAGTTTTTCCCACCAATCCTCGCTATGCCCGTACTCGTTAATTGTCCTTCCGAAATTGTCAAATCCATGGGTAATTTCATGCCCAATTACAACTCCAACCCCACCAAATTTCATTGGAATTGGCATATTCTATAAATTGATAGAAGCTTTTAATATTAAAAGTATTTATTACAGTCGGATATCATCATAAGATACACCTTTGGACTGAAATGATTGCAGCTTATAATGAGAGTATCTTAAATAAATGTTCTTAGAATAATAGACCTCTATTAAAATAGAAGAACTCTCTTAGGCAGTTGCTCCACCCAGTTTCCAACCTTTCTTTCTAACTCTCAACTCTGGAAAGGTCAACTTTATTACTCAAGTTATGACCTGATAAATATAAAAAACGTTAATCAGTGATCAGACTTATTTATAAGTGATCAGTCTTGATCTTTCCATTTAGAAAAAATATCCCGCTTATCGAAGGCTTTCGACGATATAATTTTGTTCAGAATAGATTATGGCTAAAAAGTTATAGTCGATCAACTTTGGCTGATGCTTAGTTAGCCTTTAGCCTCGCCAAGTTCGACGAAACCAATGACTGTGCATCTTATAACGAGCTCCAACTGTCATTAAAACTTTACTGAACTATATCATAAACTGGGAAGAACAAATATCCCGCCAGAACAATAAAAGCATTTAAATAGAAATAATAAATTGCATTTGATGTGAACATTTGGCTATTTTTAATATTTATTTTGTGAAGCATTTTGCGTTCATCATCAACCAAAACCACTTGATTTACGTATCTCTGCATGGTACAGGATGAAGCGGCTATTTCAATTTCACCAAAACTCATTGTATTACGGTCAATTACATTATAACATCTGAAATTAGGTAATAGGTTAAAGCCTTGTGAACATACGCTTGAAGACTCGAAACGAAATAAACATTGATAACTCGATTAAGGTTGGAGGTTTTGTGTACCCGGGGATTTCTCAGGAACCATCATCCCTAATCCTGATGGAAATTAAAGGAAGTGAGTCAAATGAGTAGAATACCTAAAGCAAAAAATGCCTTTTGCCAATGACATTTTGGGGGACCTATATGTATCTTCAAATAAATATTTTCTACAAATCTTAACTCTATGGTAATACCGAACAATGGCATATATTTCTATCTATTATAACACGTAGTCTGGGTTTTCTCCCTGAAAAATAACGATCAGACAAATTCTGATGAGGTTTGGGAGTGAATATTGACTCGGAAACTCTAGTAAGCTCATGAGCCAGGATCGTATTCCGAGTCTAAGAATTTGTGGGTTTAAGGTATCTGCCAACCCGGCCCTTCACATCCCCCTTTAACATCAATAAACCAACTGATTTTCGTTAATAATTCCATCAGTATCCTTAAATTCATCAAAATAACCAGAATATTGTTTCATAATTTCCAATTTTTTGAGAGCTCGTTTCTTAGTTCGTTCATCAATCCAATCCTCAGAAACAATCATTTGACGAAATTGTTCTTTGATTATTAAAATTAAATCCATTATATCATCTCTTGTCCTTTCTTCAAGGAAAAAATCAAGAAATAGTCTATCAGCTGCCTTTCCAAAATGTGTAGCAGTTCGCATTATACAATAAGTTTCTATTGGTTCATTATTAAGATTCCAAGTTAATCCTCTAAATTTTTTGATTTACCAAGGGTATGCATGAGTGGAGGGGCTTTTTCGTGCCCTTTGAGCAACTATGTTATATTATGTAGATAATATCTGACATGCACTTGGGATTTAAGGTAACACTCTGAGGTAGGGAATTGATCAGTCTTTCATGTTTGTTAAGTGTGAAGTATTGCCTTGATCAAAGGCTTATATAATCCAGACTTATAGACCCTATCAGCTCACATTTTTACATTTATTTTTCATAATCTTATTCTATTAATGGGAAGAGTAGTTTGTAAGTTAGGTACATCTAACAAATAGTCTTGATGCCAACCGTGTCCGGACAATGCGTCAGTGGGCAATGCGTTAGTGGAAAATGCGTCAGTGGACAATCGGTCTGTATTGATATAAAGTGATTAAAAGTGATGATGTAGAGAGATAAAAATGATATAAAAAGACTAAAGATGGGATATAAACAGATTACGAGTATTTGCAAAGGGATTTTAGGGTTTAAAAGAGATGTAGAGAGATTTGTTGGCATTAAGGCCGATATTTCGGGTTTGAGAGGATTAACAGTGATGTTGACATATTTGGTTGGATTAAGATGGAGATCAGTCGATTTCGAGAGATATCAGTGGATTTTTATCTCTTTATATCATCACTTTTAATCACTTTATATCATCACTGACCGATTGTCTACTGACGAATTTACCACACACGCATTGTTCACTGACGCATTGTCCGGGAGTTATGCCAACTCTAGATGCTCCATAGTCTTCTTTTCATTAAAGCCTTTGTGAAACCTCAAAAAATCTTTAAATCTATTCATCTAAATAAGGGCAATAATTTAAATTTCTTACTCAAATTCTGTGCCATATGCATAGGAATATTTATAAATTATAATACCCATTTCCAAATAACTTCTTATTAGATCAGAATTTTGATTAATATAGTTGAATATATCTTCAAAACATTTGAGACATTTAACAAGAACTGTAGTATCTCCAGTAATGTCAGCTTTATATTCTTTTAAAAGTGTTGGCCAATCAACATTAGGTGTGTATTTGGCATATATTTCTTGGAGGGTTTTTGTTTCGAATTTACCACTAATTGTCGGATTTCGAAAATTGCCTAAAAAATGGCACTTAAAATAGTAAGCAAACTAATAATATTTCTGCATTATATATTTGGGCATATTTTAAGTTTTGTCTTAGAATAAACATTAATATAGGTTTGACCAAGGTCCCCATTGCATCCAAATTCTAGCCCTTATAAAAATGTGGGTGCTGGTTAAATGCCATAATCCAGAAGTTCTAGGGGAGCGAGGTTAGGTCACAAGGATAGCTTGTAGTTTACTTATGGCCTAACATGTTCATTATGGCTGTTCCTCGCCAGGAAGGGGGAGGGAGTAGGGTGACGATTCCCAAGGTGTTAAGCTCTTGACTAGATCCTGACTATCTGTATTTTTTAATTTTGCGTATCCATGCTCTTCCCAATGAGCTAAAGAAGCGACAATCTTGTTGTCTTTTGGACAGCCAAAAGTATTTGTTAAACAAAATTACCCATAATCTCGCTGAATTTCTCATTGACCTGAATAATATTACTTATCCACTTTTCAATAGCCTCTCTTTCAGGCAATCCTGAAGGTAATATTGAAGCCATTTCCTGTGGATGTTTTTGCGATAATTCTGTCAGAATTAGTCTCATTCCATTAATAGAGCCATCCGTAATTTTACTGCTATGAAGAACAAACTGATACAAACTTATAGTTTGATCCCTTGCATATTTGCCTGTTGTAGGTGTCGAAATTTCCAGAGTTGTGAATTTATATAAAAGGAATGAAAATGGACTAATGTTTGAAAACATGTAGACTGTCTGGAAAATTAACATTATGAGACTTATAGACATTATGAGACTAACATCATAGGCAAATATTGGATGATTAGCCCTTATCCATTCAGTATTCATTGTATATTGTGAGCCCATTTTTTGGCGTAGATCGAGTATTTTATCAAGCATTAATTTTGAAATTCTATCATTATTACGAGCAGTTAAATCCTTGCAAGAATCATAATATTCAGTTAATTTTGTAAAAAGAGGATTGGTTTGCAATTTTAGGCGCTTCTTGTTGTCATTTAGAAGTCCTAGAATAACATATAAATAATTTTTATACTACAGTTGGATCTTATAGTAAGATAGACATAATACTAGATACTTCCTCAGCTTATAAAACAATAACACATGGATGTTATAATACCCATGGATATTATGCGTAAGAAACGTGATCCGAATCTAATATCAATAAAAATAAATTTTAAATTCATCATTATTAGCTTTTAAATAGCTGGCGGCGTCAGAAATCTCTGACACCCATTCTACCTTATGAACTTCGGTCAAGACAATTTAAGAGTAATTTCAACTACTAATTGAGCCAGGTAGGATTAAGACTAGTTGGAGGAAATATCATGAAATTTCTCATGCCTTATGTCCGGCTACTGGTTGTGGTAACGCACTTGTGATATCCTCTATTTAGGTTAGACTTCATTACATATTACAATCTTATACCCCAGTGATGTATTTGAAAAAATAAGAAAAGTAAAAAAACAGTAGGCTCGAGTAAGCCCGTATTTACATTTATTAGTTAATTTAAAAGATACCAATCATTAAATTTTTTGCTTCCTTCGCAAGCCTATGATAATGACTTATTTTGCCATCCATTCCAGCAATAAGTTCCAGAGCTTCACTCTTACGAAATCCATCGCAGATATAATCATAAAAATCATCACAAGGACGTATATTTGGATTTATAGAGTTTGACATTGTTGGAAAATTGACAAGTCGGATACGAGGACCTTAAAATTAATTAAGTTAAGTTTTCATGAATCCTGAACCCATTTGAGTTCTTTATAAAAGGATTTGACTTATTTATTGGTGTATATCCGTGCTAGGTGTTGTTATGGAAATTAGGCCTGGGCTCCGACCTTTCAAATCTTGACTCCGTCTCCTGACACAAGAACCTGCTTCTGAACTAGCCTATGATCCATACCCAGCCCTGCTTTACACTTGAACGACCCAGAGTTTTTAAGCCAGTAACGGCACTTGGCATGCTTCCCACTTTGAAAATGCCAAAATTAAATATTTACCAGTTCCAATTTTTTTTTTTCAATCTTCGCTTTTTTATTCAATTTAGATTTCTTTTCATAATCATTCTCTAAATATTGGTCAAATTTTTTGCAAGTTCCACATGTTAAGGGGCATTCTTTCTTCATAAAATCTCCCCAAATTGTGTCATTACAACGCTCTTTATATTTTTGACATTCAGAAATTCCACTTGGACCAGTATTGTCAAAACATAAATTTGTTTTGATTAAATCACACGTATCACAAGTTCTAGAAATATTATTTAAAGTTATGCAGTTAAGTCCGACAATGAACTCCTAACGGTAATTGTTAGGCGCTCTCGCTACCACAAAATGGAGCTTGGTCCTTTTGGGGTCCTTTTCCGCATTCAATTTTAATAGATCTACCGCTCATTAAAAATTTATAAAGTTAGCCAGCTGCATACCTTTGTTTATTCACCCTTTGTCCTAAAATTTATTTCTATCAACTATAGTTCTAAATTTATGACTTACAAGTACCAGAAATTGACCATAATTGCCCTTTTCTTAATTAAAGGAGAACAATAGACCTGAGCTTCCACCTTCTTGCGCCTTTTTGCGACCTATGATTATCCCAAATATTAAATATCTACCTTGGACATTCTCTAGACATTAAATCTTTATAAAGGGGACGATCACAAAGGTATTTTAACTTTGGACAGTCTGAAGGCCTTCCAGGGGCATTTTTATCTTCACATTTTTGGCCATAACTTATATAAAATAGAAAATAATAAATAAATTTTGAAAATATTTTTATTGAATTTTTTGGAAAAATTTTAGGCATTTTTTATTATTTTATGTTGCAAAATTATATTTATTTTTATAAATATAAGCTACCTTTGTCTTAAGGAGATGAACGGTTTTATTATTAAAGCGAGACGCATTTGGTCAAATATAAGCTTAACAGGGCTTAAAGCTTTTGTTTAGTTTTTTTTCTATTGTTAAATAATAATGCAAAAATAATTATAGGAAATTACAGACGGAATTAACATAAGCTACACCCTTGAGCTAGAAAATCGTATTTTATAATTAGGTATAGGGTTAAGTTAGGGTCATAAGGGCACCAGCACTAGAAACTGACCCCGAAATTTATGAAAATTTTCTCAAATTTCTTTAACATCATTAACTATCTCCTCCAGAAATTTCAGAATTTTTCATCGAATATTTCTAAAGTAATAATCGATAAACCGCGAAAAATTAGGGTTTTTTCGGAAAATCAACATTTTTGGCAACAATTTCCGAAATTCTTGATCAAAAATTTTGAAATTTTTGGTGAACGTAGATAAAGTCATGAGAGTTATTATTGCAAAATTTTTTTCTTTTTTGATAAGTAACTCACTGTTTTATAAGCTCGCGCCATAATGGCCCAGTTCCATAGGGTTTATTATAGGGTTGAGGAAGAGTGTTTCGTTAAAGAGAGATTCAATCGTATTTTTGAAATATTGGAGAGTATTTAGAAGCTATTTGGACTTAAATCGTTGCACTTTATGTGCCGTTATAGAGGAATTATTACAAAATACATATAAAATTCTCATCAGACATGAAAATAAAAATAAATTATTTTGTAAAATATTTCAAAATAAGCACTTTGCTTTTAAAAATAAAAATAAAAAACGACAATATACTATTGCACTTTATCAAAGTCATTTGCCGAGTTTAAAGGAAGGCGATAAAATAAATATAGTATTTTTATTTCGAAAAATATAAATAAAAAGGGCATATTTCCCCTTA